ATAAGCAAAGTCTTAGCATTTCTTATAAACAAATGTATTGATAAGAAAACTTTTCCAAAAAGTTTAAAAATAGCAAAAGTAGTAGCCGTACACAAGAAAGGTAATGTTGGTGATATCAACAACTACCGCCCAATTGCGATTCTTCCAATCTTGTCGAAAATTTTTGAATCGGTATTAAAAGAACGCCTAGTTACGTTTTTCGAAATAAATAAACTCTTTGTTGCTGAGCAGTTTGGTTTTAGAACAAATAAATCTACAATACAAGCAATACTAAATGTAGTAGATAATGTCCTAAAAGGTTTTGAAGAAGGTAGAATTACTAACATAACTTTAATTGACTTAACAAAGGCATTTGACACCGTTAACCACAACATTCTCTTGTCAAAACTTCAACATTATGGCATTAGAGGCACACTCCATGACTTATTAAAGTCATATTTGACAGATCGAACACAAAGGGTATATGAAAAATCCAAACTATCAAACTTGAAACCTCTAACTGTAGGCATCCCACAAGGTTCTATCCTGGGACCTATTCTCTTCCTGTTTTTATAAACGATTTACCACCAAATATCCGTGCCCTGAGTACCATATTATTTGCTGACGACACGACCATCATTAGCCAGAATAAAAGCCTAACAAAACTAAGAGAATTAAGGCACCATGAATTGTTGCGAAATGTGGTTGAAAGCCAATAAACTTACTCTAAATAAAAATAAAACTCAATCTTTACTGTTTTCTCTAAAAGAGGAACAGCCAACTTATAATAAAGTTAAATACTTGGGCATTACACTGGATCATAAGTTAAACTGGGGGGAACAAATTGATAGTTTGGCGTCAAAACTGAATTCTGCTCTTTACCAATTAAGAAAATTGGTCAACTATTGTACTCTTGAAGGTTCCATAACATTTTATTTTTCAAATTTCAATAGTTTAATTAACTATGGAGTGATATTATGGGGAAATTCAACTTACGCCATTAGAATCTTCCGTATACAAAAGAAAGCTATTCGATCATTAGCCAACATTTCAGACCAACGTGTACACTGTAAACCCTTATTTAAAAAATTTGGTATATTACCTTTCCCATGTTTGTACATATATAGCGTATTAATTTATGGATACGAAAATTCAACCATTTTTCAGAAAAACTCCGATTTTCACGATTATAACACCCGAAATCGGGATAAATTTATCACTCCCCATTATCGCCTACAGAAAAGTCAAAAGTGCTTGAAGTTTGACGCGATTAAGCTCCTTAACGTGTTACCGCCACACTTCAAAACCTTAAATACAAAAAATTTCAAAAGGGAAATAAAAAACTTTTAAAAACCGAATGCTTTTATAGCACCAAAGAGTTTATTAACTCATTCAATGTATTATTGTAATAGTCCACTATTCTCGTATACACATTAATTTGTTTGTTATTTGTAACATGTGTTTATTATTGTATATTGTCATTTTTAAGCTTCTTGTCTGTTTTATTATACAATTTATCATGTATTATCCGACGATCCTGAACAAGCTGTACATTGTAAGGGTAATAAAGTATTATTATTATTATTATTATTATTATTAATAAGCGGAAGTCGAAGCAATAAAAAAGTCTGGGCGACCATCGGTATTGTTTGCAGTTTCTCTGTTTGACTCTCACGTGTACAATCTCAACAAGTGTTACCGTTTGTTGTCTTAAATGAAGGATGCTTATACGTAAATGATTTTGAGTCGCCTCTGCTAACACGTAAGTAAACTGTTTAGTTATTTTATTGATTATAAATCAATATTCAAGACGACCCAATTCATTTTCCCGAAAATTTTGGAATACAGTACTTTTATTTTTAGTGTTACACTACATCTATCCAAACTGATATACGTGTCCTTGCAAAAACGTTGATGACGTCATCGCAAAAAATTTTTAAATTGCCCCGCTAGAAAAATGTAATGAGAAAAAAAAACATAATAGGCATGCAGTCGTCATGTTTCCGACAGCGAGGAAAGTACTGTCTAAACTCCTTAGACCAATTTTTTTATGGGGACATCTAAAAAGTCGTGTTTATATGAACAGAAGTTAATTTATACGATTTGAAAGAACGAATTCGTCATGCAATGGCTCGTATAAGTCCCCACAGTATTGAAAATTCCGTTAATCAAGTCTACCATCGTCTGGATTTGTGTCAGATAGTGAATGGGGACAGTCTGAACAATTTCTATAGCATAAAGTTTTACTCCAACGTATTATTCTATTTATTTAATGTTTATCACTAAAATCAAGTTTATTTTGTTTGTTATTAATTTTCTTCATTTTTTTGTTATGCAACCTCTACATCAAACTACATTTTCATATGCAAAAAATAAGCTTTAAGAAATAATGCAATCAAAATTATACCTTCCTATTTAAAAAAATTATTGATGACGCATAACTTTTGGAAATTTGTCGTAACTTTTTTTTAATTTTGTGCACTACTGTATTATTTTTTTAAAGGTAGTCTCAGGAAAGTTTAAAGAAAATTTCTATGACACATTTGAATATTATATATTATACATATAAGTAAGTTTCCAGCAATATATTTAGAATTTGAAAGAATTGTTTACAATAGTATACTAAGGTATTTATTAAAAATAAAATGATATTTTCAAGACGTACCTATATAAAAATTTGAAAAAAATCATTTTATTCCGTGTGGTAAAGGGTAAAACAAAAAATGTAACTCAAATCATAACGTTATTTGATACGTTTATTGCACAAAGAGATTTATTTATTGCTTACTTGATACATTTCGTTTCCTGACTTATTTTCACGGGCCAAAATCGGCTATTTTTGAAAGTTTACAAATTTCAAGAAAATGATGATCCAGGAACTTAAAACTTCCTTTACATTTTCTATTGTATGAGTACTAAGTTCTTGAAAAAAATCAACTCTTTCAGGACGATAGTGTTGACACAGGAGACAGCTGAAAGTCACCAAAATCGGCAAATTTTAACGAAGTTTCATATGCTTATTCAGGTATGGTACTTATATTTATCATCGAAAGCACCCTTCTTAGACAGTAAAATAAAATTACAATAATTTCAAAACGTGTTATAGAAAAAAGTTACAGCCCATAACAGGAGAGTTTGGAAATGGTACAACTTCAGGATTCTAATGGCTGCCGAAATATCCAAAAAAACAAATGACGACAGTTTTTCAAACTTGTTACCTAAAAGATCACCCCCAATTCACCCCATTCTCTAAATAATTTATAAGTTTCAAAATTTTCAAAGTACTAAATACAAAACAGTTTTGTAATACTATTGGTATAACTATGAAACAGAAGTGCGAAGTATGAAGATTTTAAATTATGACTTTTACAAATATTCAATATTAAGCGTCGATACTCAATCATGTTATAAACTCAATGAAGGATTTATGACCATACCCTCGAAACATCTCCCTATATATCAATCAAAATATTATGTTTATGGCTATTTTCCCTTAGGACAAGTTGTAATCAGACGCCCGTATATTACTGATTCGTATAGAGATTAATGTTCAATGTTAATATTGACCATTTATAGACACGAATAGTTGAAACACAAATTACAGGAAGACATATTTATATAATTTTGACATATAAACTCTACATATTGTTGGATGAGGTATTTTTGATAGTTAAATGATCAAAGTAAATTCAAAAACCTAATAGCAAGAACAATATCTGCAACATAATCCGATTGGAATAACAAGATTTAAATTAAATGCGATCAGTGTCTTATTATTTTGGAAGTTTTCCAAAAAATATACAGCCACTATTAATCTGTTTCCATGAAGGGAAAGCCTGATACAATGAAACATACATGAAAACGGCAAAGAATTTAAAATTTGAATATATCAAAATGGAGTAACTACTGAATAATGTATTGTTCCGTCCCCTTAGCAATGTTAGGTCTTAGCCAATTGAGAATCACATTTAGAACATCAATAGGCCAAACAGCATACAAATTTGAGATTCCTTATACGTAATAACTCGAACCTGGTTATCTGCTAATGTTCCGCGGGTATGTTTATCAACGTGTCTTTGTCATGCAGGTTTTCAACTTCATGGATTTTATTCTAAAAAGTTAACGGGTATGTTAAAAACAAATAATTGATAATCCTTGACATTTACTAAGGGTGACTTACTTTTTATCAATAAGAATACACTAGCACCTGTAAAACACTACAATAATTCCGATAGGTATATATATTTTTTTATCAAACAAGAAAAACAGAGTTCAAGTCCACGTCTGCGGATCATCATTTTTGTTTTGCAAATAACAATAAAGAAACAAACATTGTCGCATGCGACAAATCAGAAATTAGTATTTTCGATAATTTGATTCCTAATAGAAAAAACTACAAAATGCTTTATTTAGATTTTTGTAAGGGTTCAGTAAAAACAGTAATCTTCCGGCTTATTTTTATAATTATTCACTGCAGAAATATTCTAAATCCGCAGTCCGTGCAAAATGGAAACAGTAATTTTAATTAAAAATACATCGCATGTTTGTTTACTCATATAAATTAAAAATCCACATTTCGTCCATCCATCACGAACGCTTCAAAAATTAATGTTGTTCACTTTGTTTGTTATTATTGTTATCTTTCGACATGAAAACTGCATGTGAAAAATGCCGTAGCTGGTAATTACGACCGCAGAATTTTAACTACCACACCCCCGAAGAGTCCCCGACTTTGCGACTTTAAAGCCACCGTTCCACGAAATCGGCCCCCAAAACAAACCGCGAATTTGTCGCAAACTATCGACCGTCCTGTTACAATATCAACAAAACCACGTCCATCCTCCCATCAAAAGCAAGTGCATCCACCTACACCATGCGAATTATTTTGATCAATGCATGATTGCAGCGCAATTGTTTGTTTTTTTCTCGTCCGTGTTTGTGTTGCTCAGTTCATGGGCGTGTTTCCCCGCACATCCACAGGGTGTAGATTTCCGCGAAAAGTCGAAATAGCCTGTACTTACATTCATCAGTTTGGCCCGAAAACAACAAAATCGTAGAGCATTTACACGTTTGGAAATGACGACGCACTGCACTGTCGACCCTCCTCCGCGGCCGACCCGAGCGTACTGACTCGGTGACGTCGTCGTCGTTACAACACTATTTGATCAAATCGACGCTAATTGTGTCCACCAGCCGCTAAACATCACCATTATCGAATAAAAACATCGCGAACAGCGAAACTCGCCGAGCTGGATCGATTTTTGCTCCTGTTCCGCTCACCGGCCGACGCTGGTGGACGCCGTCTTCGTGGGGTGCATGATTCCGGCCCGACGTGCAAAAATAGTGAAATAATGCCGATTGATTTTTCCGCGTCGTGACGTCAAGCCTCGCCGAGGTCGTCACAGGTTCATTCGGGAGTTTGAACTCGGGCCGTGCAGAGCCGTAACGTAATGATTTTGCCGCAGCCGCCCCTCCAGGCGGGCGCGGATTGAGCGACAGGGATATGCAGAAGGTGCAGGAGGGTGGGGCCGTCCCTGCAAGGCGGCGAGACGTGTCGATTTTCAGGGGCGGATCGGAACTGACGAGAGCGAGCTTCAGAGGCGGCTTCGTGGCGGGGAAATTGAGAAAGACGTCGCCGGGGTTGGGGCTGGGGTTTATTAAAAGACTAACGGGGAAGTGGGTAGTTACGCTGAGGTTTTCAACTTGGATAAAGACAGAATGAAAGTGTTGACGATCAAAAAAGTTACAAATCAATGACAGGATTCGAAACTTTCAAAAATATCTTTACACCTGCACGCAACAGCATTTTACGTATCGTTGTCAAAAAAATCGCAATACAGGTTTTCACTTAACGCGAAATTTTAGTTACATACCTAAAAAATGTCCCCATACTAGCTTTCAGTAATAAAGTTAAGTAAATATTCCTTTAAGCTATCCCGGAAGCATCATTACATTTTCAAATTTTGCCGCCTGTCTGAGATATTTACTTAAATCATAAATCGAAATCTAATATCAGTTTGACAGTTCGATTATACTGCCCGTTTTTCATAAGCTGGCAAAGCATATTACTTTCATGGAACAATATATCTTTGTTACAGACACCTTCTTTTGTATGTTATGACAATGGACGTGATTAGTATTGTAAAATTTTGTAGATAATTTAATATTTAGAACTTATTGTTAGATGTACCCTTGTTTTAACTACAAAATAACATTGTTATAATTATAACGAAAAAATTATTCAGAAATACGGAAAATATTAAACATTGGCAACTTTTAAGCGCAACTCACTTGTAAAATGTTATAAATGTAGTGTATATGTGAAAAACTGGATACTTTTAAACGTCTCATTTAATTCCAGCAGCATTAAACACTGGTCATTACCCCATTTGACGCACAAATTACACAAAGTAAAAAAACTGTAAATTGTAAGTATATCGTCGCCTGAGCACTTGTTTGATCCACAGACCGGAGCGCGCTCAGGCCAATTTCGACTCTTTAGAAGCACTGTGTTCTATTTTGTATTAATTTTTAGATATTTTTAGTCACAGTTTTGGTGGTTATTTATTTTCCATACTTTCTCAACTTTTCGATTTTTCGATTTCTCGACTATTCGACTCCTCGATTTCTCGATGTCTCAATTTTTGAATTTTTTGGTTTTTCGATTTTTCACTTTTCGGATTTTCCAATTTATTAAATTTTCGAGCTCGATTTCTAGATTTATTGATTTTTCAGTTTTTCGATTTTTAAATTTTAGATTTTCGAATTTTTATTTTTTTAATTTTTCAATGTTTGAATTGCCCCATTTTTCAATTTTACGATATTTTAATTTTTCAATGTTTCAAATTTTAGATTTTTAGATTTTTTGACGTTTCTGAATTTTCAGTTTTCCGATTTCTCAATTAATCTATTTTTTATTTTCCTATTTCTCGACTTGCCAAAGTCTCAATTTTTCAGTTCTTCAGTTCTTCAATTTTTCGAGTTTTCAGGTTTTTGATTTTTCAATTTTTTAAATTCGTGAATTTTCAGCTTAGGTTTTTTGACTTTTCTATTTCTCAATTTTTCAATTTTTTAATTTCCCAATTTTTGAATATTTCGTTCAATTTTGTGATTTTTCAGTTTTCCCATTCTTTAATTTTTCTTCTATTTTTCAACTTTTCGATATTTCACTTTTGGGATTTTTTAGTATTTCTGCTTTTCGATTTTTTGAGTTCTTGATTTTCTGATTTCTCGAATTTTTTCTTTTTGAATTTTCAATTTTTCGTTTTTTAAAACTTTCAATTTTTCGACTTTTCAATATTTTAAGTTTTCAGTTTTTGAAATTTTAGGCTTTCCGATTTCTTGAGTTTTCAGTACTTCTATGGGGTGTTATTGAAAGGTACGTCCAACCAAATTGACAGTTCTTCGCGAAGTTTGAGAAGTTTGAAAAACTTATTTTGTGTTGTCAAAATTATAAGGGGAAAATCAACCCTTATCCAACCTTTTTAGACGCTACTGAATTATAAATAGGTAACATTAATTTATTTTAGTAAATCCTAGCAACTGTAACAATAAACTTTTGTCAAGACTAAATGTTGCTATCGAGACGAGAGATGATCTTTTTATCAGAGGCGTACAACGAAATTGGACATAAATTTTAATAATTTTTATCTCTAAAAGGAGAACACTTTTACCTGAACTTTTTTAACTTTTAGCACCCATACTTCGAGACCAATTGCCGATTTTATTTTATACGTACCTTTCAATAACACGCTGTATATTTCAATTTTTCAATTTGCGGAATTTTTAAATTTTCGATTTTCCAATTTTTTTTATTTCCCAGTTTTTCGGTGTTTCGAAATGTCAATAGGCCAAAATCGAAAAGTTAAAAATGGAAAAATCTATAAATCGAAAATTTAAAAATTCAGAAAATTGAAAAATTAAGATATAGAAGAACTGAAAACTCGAGAAATCCAAATTTTAAAAATTGAAGAATTAAAATATCGAAAAGTTAAAAGATTGAGAAATCGAAATATAAAACAGTCGAAAAAAGTTTAAAAAACGAAAAACTGAACTTCCAAAAAATTAATTTGAATAACTGATCAATCGCAACTATGAGAAATCGAGAAATAGGAAATTGAAAAATAGATTAATTGAGAAATCGGAAAACTGAAAATTTAGCGGCGTCAAAATTTGAAAAATTGAAAAACAGAAATACTGAACTACTGAAAAATCAAAAAAATCCGAGAAATTTAAAAATCTAAAATTTAAAACATTGAACAATTAAAACACATATCCCAAAAGTGAAAAATTCAGAAATCCAAATATCAAAAAATCAAAAAATAAAAATCTAAAACTTAAAAATCGAAAGACTGAAAAATCGGCAAATCCTCAGAATTTAAAAAAATGAAAAATCGGATAACTGAAAACTCGAAACATCGAAAAATTGGAAAATCGAAAAACTGATAAGCCCAAAAGTCAAAAATCGAAAAACCGAGAAATCCAAAAATCGAAACATCGAAAAATTAAAAAACCTGAGGCATCAAAAAATCGAAAAACCAGAGGCTTGAGAAATCCAGAAGTCGAAAGCCACGAAAAAAAGTTAATAATTGAAAAATTGATAAATATTGTTATCTGAATTCGATGAATCGAGAAATGAAAAAATTGAAAACTCGAAAAATTTTAAAGATGAAAAATTGGTAATGAAAAATTGAAAAGCCGAAAAGTAAAAAAATTCAGAAGTCGCGAAATCGAAAAGTCGAAGAATCGAAATATTGAAAGATCCCAAAACTGAAAGAAATATCCAAAAGATGAGAAATTTAAAAATCGGAAAATTGAGAAATTGAAAAACCAAAAAAAAACAAAGACTCAAAAAATTGCAAAATCGCAGAATTGAATAACTGAAAAGTCGAAACTTTGAGAATTCTGGAAACGGGAAAATCAAAAATAGATTAATTGAGAAATCGGAAAACTGAAAATTTAGCAACGTCAAAATTTGAAAAATTGAAAAATAGAAATACTGAAGAACTGAAACATCGAAAAATCGAGAATCTAAAAATACAAAATTTAAAACATTGAACAATTAAAATATCGCAGACATACAAATATCAAAAAATCAAAAAATAAAAATCTAAAATTTGAAACATCGGATAACTGAAAACTTCGAAACATCGAAAAATTGGCAAATCGAAAAATTGAAAAGGTCAAAAATCAAAAATCGAAAAACCGAGAAATCCAAAAATCGAAACATTGAAAAATTAAAAAAAAAAATGGGAAATCGAGAAATCGAAAAACCAGAGGCTCGAGAAATCGAGAAGTCGAAAACCGAGAAGAAAAGTTAATAATAATTAAAAAATTCATAAATCGAGAAATTGAACAATCAAAACATTGAAACATCTGAATTCGATGAATCGAGAAATGAAAAAAATGAAAAATCGAACAATTTTAAAGAAGAAAAATTGGAAACTCGAAAATTTAAAAATTCGGAAAATTGAAAAATTAAAATACCGAAAAGTTGAAAAATTGAGAAATCGAAGTAATAAAACAGTCGAAAAATTGAATAGCCGAAGAGTAAAAAATCGAATTATTGAAAAATCCAAAAACTAGCGAAAAAACTGAGAAATTAAAAAATTGGAAAAATGAGAAATCGAAAAACTAAAAAAGCAAAGTGAAAAAAAGCTTAAAAAATCGAAAAACTGACAAATCAAAAACCTCAAAAATCGAAAAATTGAAGAATGAAGAAGTAAAAAATCGAAACTTTGCGAAGTCGAGAAACGGGAAAATAAAGAAAAGTATACTTCAGAAATCGGAAAACTGAAAATTTAGAAACGTCAAAATTTGAAAAATTGAAAAATCGAAATATTTAAAAATCGTGAAATTGAAGCGGACAAAAACTGAGAAATCGAAAAATAAAAAATCGAGAAGTCAAAAATTTGAAGAATGGAAAAATTGAAAAAGCCCAAAATTGAAATCTTGAAAAATTGAGACATCTACAGTTGAAAAATCGGGAAATCAAAAAGCCGAAAAATCTTAAGTGTATATTTATAAACCACAAGTTCAAGACTATGCTACTTTTTAACATTTAAGTAACAATTCGTCATGTTCGACAAAATTGTAAGATGACATCATCAATTCCTGGGGGACATGAACGGATAAATTTTGGCTAACGATTCAACATGCTTCCAATAACTATAATTTGGAAAATGCTCTTGATTTTTTTCCAAAAATCTTGACGTCTAAGGTAAAAACTCAATACGGATTCATAAACCGCAAACGGAGGATATAAACTTTAAATTACATCTACTATTGTAAAATTTTGAA